AGCAGGAAGAGTTGGCTTCTTAGATGCATGTATGTTGTCACAACTCTTGAAGTCACCAGGGAGGTGTTTGCCCTGAGAGAAGCTGCTAAATGTTTTTGAGCTGAAGGAGCAAAATGTCATGGCCTTACACACATTGTGGTAATGTACAGGTAAATAGGGATGCTGTCTTTGCTGCTTTGCTTTTGGTTTATGACCCTCACCATCCTTGTTGCTCTAGGAACATACTGTCACAGCACTTGGTAAAAGCAACACGACATCTTTTTGTGTAAAATCCTTGTGGCTTAGCTCCAGTTCCTGGAAATGGGGATTGGCCAGTGTATCCAGCCATGTACCTGCTGCTCCCCTTCCTGATGAGCTGTTAAATCCCAGCACACTTGGGACAGCGTGTGCCTGTGGAGGGAAGAACCCCATTTTCCTTGTCCTTGTTCTAGAGGGATGTTATTCATTTAAAAATACAGTATTTTAAAATTCCTTCCCTATTGCTTATATTACCTTGCATTAACACCAGGATTTGATAAATCCCATCTGGGTGGTTTGGGTATTTTTTTGTTCAGTTGGATGGTGAAAATCCCATGTTGTGTTAGTGGGCTGTTGTCTCAGCTTCAGGCAGCGTAGAGGGCAGATGTTCCCAGGTCTGCTCTTGGAATTTTAGAAGCTAAGCATGGGAACGTTGGTATTTAGGTTTTAACTCCTACCCTGGAAATGGTCTAAGCTTGAGCATATCTTCCCATTCCCTGGTTTGTCGGGGCAGATGGGAGGGATCCAGGAAGAGCCATGGTAAGGGGGTGTGCAGGGAGGACAACGTGACTTCTTTCCCAATACCAACCAGCTTGGAGGAGTTGATCTTGGTACGTTTAAGGCCTTGTCTACTCAAACTAACCCTCAGCAATCAAGGTGTAGAAGTCGGGTACGTGCTGTTCTCCTGCAAGGGCTGGTGACTTAACTCAGCTGGCAGGAGAATCCCCCAGCTGAACTGGGGCCTGACCTTGCCCTGGCTGAGAGCCTGCTCCCCCAGCAGAAAGCATGTGCCTCCTGGTGCTGCTGCTGGAAAGCCAACTGCTGCCAGCTGGGGAGAGAAGATCCCATTTGGGTGGGGAAAGAAGGAAGCAAGCTGCACAGGAGAGTGCTTTAATTTGGTTGCATTTACAGCGTTGTGGGAAACAGCTTTGCAGAGGAGGAGGGGAAGTGTGGAGGTGGAGGGCAATGCGTGAGTGTACATCTCATGATCAGGCCTAAACAGGCAGCGTCTGTTGGCTTGCAGAGGGTGAGGCAGCAGCTCCTGGGCCGGTCTCTGAGGTGGCTGGCCAGCCCAGCTGGGGCTGCCAGCGCTGGCCGAAGAGCCCCTTCCCTGCAGCAGCACCTGTGGGCACGGGCTCCGAGGACCTGGAACACGGGCTGGGGGCAGCACCTTCCTCTTGCCACGTCCTCAGCTCTAGAGTTTATTTTCATACACAGTGAGGTAGAGTGGCTGGGGAGGAGCCCAAGAGATGACCGCTTGACAATTTGTAGGGTTTTTTGAGGAAGAGGAGCAAGGCCTCACTTGACTGATAATCAAATTATTGCTCTTCATGTTCAATCCTGCAGAGGCTGAAGGATTGGGAAGCTTTTTGGGCAGAGAGTGAGGGAAAACCTTAATTCCCCAGTCCTGTCTTTAGTTAGGCGAGCAAGGGGTGAGGTTTAAAGATCCCTCAGCTGTGAGCTCTGCTCTATCTCAGGAGCATCCATTCCCTCTGAGCAGAGTGTGTCCTGCAGCCTGGATCTCAGCGTGGTGGATGAGGAGCACGGGGCTCAGCCTTGCAAGGTGTAATGCAACACGTCACCTTGTTTTTCTTTCGGTTTGGGGTTGTTTGTTTTTGTTTTTTTGATGAGGCTACAGACTCTTTACCTTTTTTTTTTTTTTCCATACCTATGTGTGGAAAAAAATTCAAAGTGAGCTAGTTTTTCTTACTTAACACTCCTGACATAATCACCTCATGCTCTGTCATATGTGCTGGATCCTGTGATATCAAAGAACATTAAAATGATTTAATTCACTGGAAAAATAGCACTTATTTTAAAGATTTGTTATTTTTGGAGTCTGATAGGTTAAAAAAGGGCATTTCAGAAATTCAGAATATTATGTGCAATAGAAAACCCCTCCTTGCTCCCTTTCAGCTGCATAGTTTTGGGGTTTTTTTAAATCAATCAATAAAATGCAACCTACTGCAGTGTTTACAGCCCAAGCGTTGCAGAACTGGACCAGCCTGAGAGAACCAGAAAGTGAAGCTGACAGAAACCCCCAGGGAAGCAGGGCAGTCTCCTCAATCTGCTTCAGGAGGCTCAGCTCAGAGGAGGAGGCACTTTGGGTTGTGTCAGAGCCTCCTGCCACTGTGCAGGGGCTCAGCAGCGTTGCCTGTGTGCGTTCTGGTTTGGAATAGCTTCTCTCTCCCCACCTTCAACTGCAGAAGGGATGAGGTCAGGAGGAGAGTCGTGCTGCAGCCTGTGAGCCTGCGGAGTTGTTGCAGGGTTAAAACTTGGTGAGTTTGGGAGGGAGAAAAGCTTAATGCATTTTTATCCATTTTCTTAACCACCAGGGAACTTGCTGTGTGGAAGATGCATGCTCGGCAAGCATGCTGCTTGTTCACCCACCCCTTGGATGTCTCCCCTGAGAGAGAGGTTTCTCCTTGGCCTTTCAGCTCTGGTGTAGTGAATTGTTTAATGCACCTGGAGCCTTTCTTTGGCCTTTCGGCACATGGAGAAGTCAGGTATGTCAGGAAGAAATCTATTCCACGCAGTTTAGGAGGAAACCTCCTCAGATGCTTCCAGAGGTGGATGACTTGGGTCGATACAGAGCTAAGAGAGCAACAGTCTCAGCCATCGGCAGTAATGTGAGGCAGTGCAGTCATTTGCAGCACAGAAAAGGAGCCAGAAGGAGCAGGCTGAGGAGGAGCTGTGACTGAGCACAGAGGTGTGCTGCAGGCTGTGGAGCCAATGCATTCATGACCAGGCTCTAGGAAAGCTCGTGCTTTGTTTAGATGATTTAGCAGACACCAGCAGGCTTGCTATATGAGAAAATACTAACATAAAACTGGTTGGACACACTGAGGTTTCCTTGCTGACCTTTTTAGAACATTATTTGCAAAACCTGGTTTTACTGCTCTGATAGCAGTTGTTAAAAAAAAAACCTGCCTTATTGCTCTATCCAGATAACTAATGAAATTAACTTCACTTTCTGGTTTCTGTATAGAAATGCAATAAATCCCATCCCTTTTGCACATCCTGCCTCACCCCATCCTCACCCTTCAGTCCTTACCAGGGACCTGCAGATGGAACTTGCTCTTTCTGAAAACCTTGGTTTGCAGAAGAACTTCATTAGAAAACATTTATTCGCAGCTACGCTTCGAAAGTGCAGGAAGGTTTTCTAGAGCAGGCTTCATTTTATGGCATATTTTTATACAGGAATTAAGCTTTTTTTTCCCAATCCTTCATCCCCTCCTCCTGCCCTTCCACACCAGGACAGAGCACAAACACTTCGCACGCTTCTCTTCAGGGCCCTGTGCTCAGCACTGCTTCCGAACTCGTCCCTCTGCAGATGACGTATAGATGTGTGCCCGCCAGAGCGGGCTCTGCTGATGCTCTGCAGGTGCTGTCTGTCAGCTACTGCTCTGATAGCAGTTGTTAGTGAGCAAGGACTTCTGTCCTCCAGTGAACAACTTGAGTTGTGCTGGAAAAGGTTCTCGTTCCAATTCTGAAGCTCCTTCCAGAAGAGAGCAGAGAGAAGCAGATGTCCTGCGATGGGGCAGGGAGCCTGCTGGTGACTGCCAGTGCCAGTGCAAGGGGAGCTCGATTCCATTGCCTTTGTGCATTGATCTTCTGTTCTTTCCTGTATGTTTCCTTTCTCTC